AATTTGTCTGAATTATATCACAATGTAAAAAAAAAAAATCTTAATGGTCCTAAAGTATAATGCGATTTATTAAAGCAGAATTTAATATCTCATGTTTTTTATTTTGATGTTTGGGTCAAATATGACCCAAACATATTTTTGTGCGATTCATCTGAATCCAGCTTGAGCCGTCATTAGACATTATACCTCCCTTTTCCCTGAAAATGAATTTTTGATAAATATAACACACTTTGAATCCTGCCCTCTTAGTTTCCAGAATAAAGGAATCTGACTCAAGCTTTTTTTATTTTTAAAGATGTTTATTTTTGTACCCCTGAAAAAATCATGTCTCAACAAAAAGTGTATGTGTGTGAGTGGGTGACTTTTACCCCACAAACAATTTTATGATGTTACCACTGTCACCAAAAATAGAAAGAAAGAAAAAATCAAGGCCACAGGTAGTTTGTACATAATTATTTTGACATAATATATCTCCATGTAATATAGGCCAAAAAAGGTAAAGCAAGGGGGGAAACACTCTATTTTAAAAGCACTTCTGGCTGCATCTCACACTGTCCTTCGCCGTCTCCTTGCCAACAGCAGTCTTTCCAATGAACTGATTTACATATTTGTTGTTGGGAGGGTGTAAACACACATAAGAGCCTAAACCATGTTCCAGTCAGCTTTACAGAACTTCAGGGCCACCATGTGACCTTAGTGACAAACAGCCAGAATGTCAGGTTACTATTAAATTACTCTCTCTCTCTTTATAGATATTTAAAAAATAGATTTTTAAGAAGAAAATATCCTTCCCTGTGTGAAATAACACACCACTATTCCCATGCTAGGATGTTTGAGATATTTTGGATGATTAGACTGCTCTAAAACCATATTCCTAACCTTACTCAGTACTTAAATGTATGTAATTACACTGTAACATGGGCACTGTAAAATAAAGTGTAACCAGTTCTTCTTCTGTCATATACATTTCGGAATCCAACTTGTCTTACGTTAATTACTGTACACCCATAACAGAGGTGTAAAATCATCCAACATCTGAATGATCCGGTTTGTAAAAAAAAATAATAATAATTGGCGAAACATTCTATGACAAGGAATCAGATCATATCAGAATGTCATAAAGACTTGGAAACAAATAAAAAAAAACTCAGAACATTAGAACATTGTAGCAGCATGGGGCTGGACAACTTGACAGGCAAGCGATTTATAGTAATCATCATGGTGTAACGAGGGAGGCGTGATGACAAAGTAGGGATCCAAATGCAAGGCTTTAATAAGAGCGTAGTCAACCAGGCGTGGTCAACAACAGCAAAAAAACGATGGCAGCGACAAGGCAAAAGAGTAATCCAGATAATCAGGCAATGGTCAGGGCAGGCAGCAAAACAATCATAAACAAGAAAACAGTCCAGGGATCAAACCACGAAGGCACGGAAACAGAGAAACTGGACACTTAGAAACCACGGAAGAGCTATACAACATTCAATCACCAGCGATGACAGAGTGTGTGAGTGCTATTCTTATTGTCCTACTAATGTGAGACAGCTGTGAACTGATGATGAGATCTGATGAGAGACAGGTGATGCACTTGATGAGTCCGGGCAAAGGATTATGGGAAATGGAGTCCTGAGTGAATGGCAAGGTACAGAATGGAGTGCCACTCCAGCTGGAGATCATGACACATGGTAACTGCCTAGCCTGCTCATTGATCATCAAGGGCAGCCTAGCAAGGAACATGAACCAGTATCTGCACCACAGCATTGTAGAGACATATTCTGGCTCTATTGATTTGGAAAAGTGTTCATTTATCAGCCTAGAAACCATTTAGAACATGGAGTAAATGTGTGACCACCCCATGGCAGTGAGATCAAAGCACGTTGCAACTCTGTTTTCAACAGTTCTGGCAACAACATATTGCCTAGACAAAAAGTTGTCATATGGACAACTTTTGTGGTTCTATGCTTTATCTTCCATGTTAATCTTCCATGCGAAATTTTCCTACTATTATCAAAAAAAGTGATATGGAGCGCAAACGAATGTAGATTGTATCAAAATGAAAGTGATAACTAGTTGTATATCATGATGGGCATATACAGTACATCTAGATGTCACCCTCTGTTTCAGTTCATGCATCTACAGTATATAGCTTTACGGAAAGAATGGAGTTGACATGGATTTTGTTTAAAAGCCTTAAAGGGTTACTCCACCCCAAAACGAAAATTTTGTCAATAATCACTTACCCCCATGTCGCTCCAATCCCATAAAAGCTTTGTTCGTCTTTGGAACACAATTCCCATGTTGTGATTTCCATTACAGTAGCATTCCTATATGTGATGCAGTGCCGTCTAAGGGCCCGAAGATCGGGGAGTTGTTTGAAACCTCAGGCTTCCATCTTCCCTTTGACCCCCTCAGACCTGTTTGTGGACTCTGTGCTTTGTGTCATATAGTCTAGCAGGTCCAGGTCCATGTGCATCACACATTTCACCCATGAGAGAGCAGGCCAGCCCAGTGCCTCCGGCAAAGTACAGGCCCAATGAATAACTCAGACCTAGGTAACAGGTTCGGTCACTCTCTTTTATTTCTCTGAAGTTTAGTTGCACTTATCAAAGAACCTGACAACAGAGGCCATGGAAGCATGATGTTGTTTACAAGCTTTGCATATTTATTTGTGTATGTGTGTGAGTGAGAGAGAGTAAGCGACATGAGGGTGAGTAAATATGGACAAAACTGTACATTTTGGTAGAGCTATTTCTTTAAATATTCAATATAAATATAATGCACAATTTGTGAATTTGTGAACCCCACCAAATGCCTTCAGATTTTTTTTTGTTTGTTTTTGTATATTTGTTTAATATTGAGAAGGGGTAACAAACAGCATGCAAATCTTTGTGGCAGCAATGAACATTATAGCAACACAACAGAATTTGGAGTCATTTTTAGGACATTTTCAAGTTTAATTTTCTTTACTTGACTCACTAATTTGTGAGTTCATGCATGACAAACAGAAAGAAGATAATAAAATCAAGCCAGAAATAGGATGGTTAGAGGCAGAGCGCTTGACATGGATTTAGTGTTTCTGAAGATGGGTTATAGGCATTTCTAAATTGTCTTCACATTTTGTTACAGTGATTGGCCAGGTTGATTTGGAAATGTTAACACAACAGAGGGAACACACCTATCCAACCAAGGATAAAAAAAATGGATTTGGTTGCCTCATGGAAACAATGTCTTTGTTTCCATGAGGTAAAGGTAATGGTGATTTGTTTAGCTGCACATGTACTGTAGTAGCAGTGTGTATTTGCAAGGTGTAACATTTAAGCACTGCCAATTTTATGGTCTTGTTTCCATAAAGCTTTGCCTCCAGCTTCTCAAGATTTAGTACTTTACAATTTAAAGTATTAAAGACATGTATCTTACAGTTTTTTTTCATGGGACTGAGCGATATATTTAATGATTGATCTTTGATGTTATATACAGCATCCAATGTGAAAAAAAAGATTGCCCCCTTAATAAAGCCAATAACTAGTTACGTCTCCATTAGCAGCAATAACTGCTACCAATTGCCAACACACAATGGTTTCAAAAATATTTTGTTCCACTCCTGACCCACTCCATTCCTGAACTGCTTCAGCTCAGTGATTTGTAGGCTTTCGAGTATGAACTGCTCATTTCAGGCCCTGCCACAGCATTTAAATCTGGATTTCAACTAGGCCATTCCAAAGCTTACATCTGTGGTAAACTAGCTAGTATGTTCTTGCATAACCCAACTGTGCTTCAGCTTCAGTACATGGACAGATGTCATGAAGAGTTCTGATACAGCTTCCTCTGTGCATTTCAAGGCCTTCAGGTCATGCTGCAGCTAAATGTTCTCAAAATAGTCCTGATGTCTTTTACAGAGCACACTGATTTTTCATGTACACTGCTTTAAAGGGGTCATCGGATGCCCATTTTCCACAAGTTGATATGATTCTTTAGGGTCTTAATGAAAAGTCTGTAACATAGTTTGGTTAAAATTTCTCAATGGTAGTGTACAAAACACCTTTTTTACCCTGTCAAAAACAGCTCTTTTCAGAGCAAGCCGTTTTGTAGCATTTCCTTTAAATGTTATTGAGCTCTGCCGCCCCTCTCTCCCGAGCCGCTCTCTGAGGGACTGTTTACTTTAGCGCATTCATCGTAAAACTTGCTAATTAGCACATTATTGGGAAAGGCGATTTGCAAAGATTCATTAAACAACCTTATACTCACTTCTTCTGTAGGTGAAGCTGGATCACGAATGATTCACGCGAACAGACGCATTTAGGTAGATCGAGGCCACATTCCCTTCAAAAACAAACGTAATCCACTGTCTTCAGCGGCTCAGATGCTATGTTCATTATTACATCCAACAACAGAACAGCTCAATCGCTTAGGAGTCATTCTTGTCTACATCTGCTCCAGCGGTGAAACAATGGCGGACTGATGACAGCTCACTCAGGCGGGTCTAAGGTAAGACGTCAGTCCAGTCTGTGCTGAAATGCCACTGTCAATCAAACTATCGTGGGAGGGGCCTGTTTTTGTGACGTCACACAGACAGGCATCGGAGATCGGCTCGATTTGAGAAAGGGGTAAAAATTTTAGGTTAAAAAAAAAAAGTGGATTTTTATCATTATAGGGTGGTTGTGTACACACTGCTAACACACATTTCAGTTCAAACTACTTGTAAAAGTGCATGTAGCATCCGATGACCCCTTTAAAATCTTAAGATTTTCTATATTATATACATATTTAATCTAAGCTGATGTCAAGCCTATCAGCTGCCAGGACATACAGAAACTGTATGTAATAACATGAAATTTGTTGACTTGTATACTATATAGCACATTTAGCCAAATGCTGTAAGTCGTCCAGTTAATGAATGCAAACAGAAAATGTGTGTATCGTGCATACTACTATACTACACTATATAAACATTAAGAGTGGTATGCCATTATAAACAGCCATTTTTATTGCAATGTCATTTGGTCAAAGTCACTTGCCCTCCCAGGGTGTACTGGTATCGCTTTGCTTAAAGCAAATTGTAATGCCTTTTTCAATGGGCTAAGACAGAGTATAGGATTTAGCTTGGTCTGCCTGACAGGTGTGGCACGTACAACGTTTTCAGAACAACATTTGCTTTAATTGGAATTATAAGAGCACCAGTAATTGTTTTCTTTTTGATGGCAATGCTTACTATGGTAATTGTCTTACTCTGATATCTACTGTAGGTTTATAAATATCAAAACGTTTTTAAATTTAAAGTCAAAAAGATTATGAGAAGTTAGTTAAATCTAATGGTATGTCACAGAAATTGAGTGAGGTTGGGATTTTATGTCATGGATTTAGCCACGGTCTAGAGACACAAACAGTATAAAACTCATCCTATGGAAATCATGGTCATCAATTTCTGAAATGTAATGAAATCAAATGCATTACCACTGTGATTAGTTTACATTTTATATGCAAATCTTAAGCAGTGCACAACATTTATTCAAATTCATATATTTCTTGAACTCAGGCATAAAATATCAGATATGTTAGCCACTCATATTTGCATTTTTACATTACCAAGAATTCATTTACAACACCAACAAGGCATGAGTCATGTCACCATAGCATAAATGTCTCCAAAACGATGCTTAAAAGAAAATGTGGAATGAGACCAATGTGCAACAGTAAATGCAGAATGTTAAGCATTATGAGCAGCCAAACTCTCTGACAACACATCACATCTGGTGTGTGAGCCTTCCTTTTAGGTCTGTGGTTTTGCAGCTTTCTCTGTTGCTCTATGATCAGCACCTACTGCCTCTGCTACACATGTAAAACCTTGCGCTCTAAAAAAAGGAAACAAAAACAGGAACAAATGTGTTTAATACCTTTATGTTTCTAAATACCTAGAAAAAAATGGAAAACAAAACATAGGTATACTCACTTTAGTAGATCATCCAGTTCTCTCTTGATCTTTTTGACTACAGGCGGACCCTGGTATACTAGAGCCGTGTAGAGCTGCACCAGAGAGGCTCCTGCACGAATCTTATCTAGGGCATCCTGTCCGCTGGCCACTCCACCAACTCCAACAATGGGTAACTTCCCTACAAACTCACACAAGCTTATTTCCTTATTAACCAAATCCACTTTGTACATTTCAATCTAGCAGTCCAAATTCCAAACACAAATGAAATGTGTAAAAGACAAAAATATGGCTTTGGCCTTTTGCCATTTAAGGGTACCTTGTGTCAATGTGTACATCTCTCGCACTGTTTGAGTGGACAGCTCTTTCAGAGGTTGACCACTGAGGCCCCCTATTTCATGTTTATTTGGGTCTTTTAGAGTGTCTGGCCTGGAAACAGTGGTGTTGGAAACCATTAATCCGTCAACACCGACCTGAAAAAACATACAAAAACGTTCCTATCTTCTAAATGAATTGGGCACAAAATGTTCACATAATCCGTATATCCTGTGAAGACTGACCTCCATGATGACCTCAGCAATGTCTTGCTTGTCCTGTGTAGAAAGATCTGGAGCAATCTTCACCAGCACCGGCAGTCGGTTCTCACTCCGCAAGGAATCCCGCTCTTTAAGCACCTGAATAACCACCAACACCAAATGATAGAGTGGAAAAAGAAAATATAAAGCTGACTAACACTTAGGTCAAAGTAATAACTCATTTTGGGGATTCATTTGTTTTAAATGCAAGATGCAACCTGTATCTGACAAAACAGATTTCACTTGTTTTGAAGCTAAAAGTATTCACTTTTATACAAAATCTAGACTTAATGTAGTGGACTGATATCATGGAAATGATATAGGACTAATTGAACAGCTGTATATAAATATACTAAACACTTTAATCAGCAATGAAGAGTTCAGATGCAAAAGACTCTAAATGCCATCTGAAATTTTCTTCTAAAATGAGCATTGCTATCAGGCTGCTATGTTTAGGTTCAGTGATTTTACTCTAATGGTAATGCATAGGTCCTTTTCTATGCAATTAAAGTGAAATAGCCGAAAATAAATATAGGAGAAAAATGCTCATTTTAGAAGAAAATTTCAGATGGCACTTAGAGGCTTTTGCATCTGAACTCTTCAATTCCTTTTCATATCACTTCTTTTTTACTCTGTTATTGCTATGATTTTATATGTTAAGAACTTGCCACCGTTTGGCTGGTTAGCTTTCACAGATGCCCACCACTACTGGTATCTTTCGTCACTGATGGTCACTGAGAAGTAACAATGTATTCTTACAACAACAACAAAAAATCTTCTGGTTAATTGTCACATGTATGTCAATATTATACTAAGAGAGATGTACAGAATGGCAGAAATGAAACATAGTTTGGTGTGATGCTACTTTTCACCTGTAGAAAAATATACAGCAAGATCCAATGATATATGATACATGTTTTTTTTTTTTTATTATTAATATTCATATTTATATTAAAATATTAATTTTTTAAAATATATATTACTATTTAATGTAAAATGCCAAATTAATTTTACACCTACTAGTAGAGATTTTTTATTTAATTGTGCCTATATTTGTGCAACATTTGGTGTATATCAATGTGATTTGTCTTTACATGGAATAATTTTTTTGTTTGTTTGTTTTTGAACATTAACAGAACAGTACTGTATCGGTATTGAATTTAAAAAGTGTGGTACTGCCCATCCCTACATCACTGAAATGATGAACTACCTTGTCCAGAAGGTGGCGCAGTTCTTTCTTGCCCTGTAGGTCTCTAAGGCCAGGAGTGTTGGGGCTGCTAACATTAACTACTAGGTAGTCAGCGAGAGGGCCCAGTGTCCGCACTCCCTCCACATAATCTGACACCGCATCTGTAGAAAGCTTGTTCTTCCCCAGATTGATGCCAAGAGGTTTACCTGCTGATATTGGAAATGTATACTGTTACAGGGCAGTAAGACTTTTCCTGGCACAGCTGAACAGATGTATTCAAATAAGTAGGAACAAGTACTGAATGTCTTCGTTATTTCCAAGGCATTAAGGGAAATTATGTTATGTAAAGATATGTTCACAGTCTTGAGAAAAAAAAAATATGGAACATTATCCCCAGTCCACAACATAAACCTACTGCCTTCAAAGTAAATGCAATTAAAATTAGGAAATCGTGATTATTATTTACCTTTTGTTAGTTCTGATTGGATATTCTTTCTGGCTTTCAACCTTTCTTGCACTGCAGAAAGGCCACAACTATTGAACCCATATCTGAAATACACAAACCACACGAAAGGTATAATACATGAATTATTGGTGAAATATTTACACTATACAAAACAAAAGTATTTTACATTTACAAAAGTACCATGTTACTACCATGGTTTGTGGTCACACCAGGATGGCAGATGGTATTCACTGCAGTATCATGTAAATTCCATGACACTGGAGTTCGATAATCATGAAAACTAAAATAATAATTTCCATCTAACAGCATCACTGAATTATGGTAATACTACAGTATTCGTGTATCAGGTATTAAATATCAGGTAAGTCAATAAGATAAAAAAAAAAAATAAAAAAAAAAAGATATTTACATTTTCTGAAGAGTCACTAAGGTTTTCAGGATGGCTCCCAAAGTTGTACTAGTTTTCTAGGAAGTTGCTTTTTGAATAAAGTCAAAAGACCCCTCCATCAGTTTAAGTCTATGGGTCTTTTTACAATTGCTTTTAAAAATAACACTACTGAAGCCACCATTCACATCTGTAGCATAAACAGTAGTAATGCTACAGTTTAATATGTGGGTTAGGGTTTGTTCAAATCACAAGCTTGAAAGAGAAAGTCCAAACTTCAACTTTCAAATGGCAAGCAGCATTTGGCATTCAAAACCTGCAACATGGACAAACGCCACTCATTTACTCCATCCGGAGGGACTCCACCCTTGTTTGAATGCCTGTGAAGAATCTGTACACAACACTGGCTGACGATATTGGTGTGCGACTGATATCAATTATATTTTTATTGTTTAATGTTAACATCTGAGTGAAATGCTCGCGCTGTCGAGCCCTGAGCAAATTTAAAAGACCAAAGACATTCTTTTCATTATTCACTTATAAAATAGAAAGCCTTGTCCAGCCAGAAATCCAGATTAAGTTCAAGCATATTCAATATACTTTTTCAAATATTTTCCATTTGGAAGAAAATTCACTTTCACGGAATATTAATGAAAAAACACATGTATCAGTGTGTAGTGAAGTTCCAGAAATATTTAAAAACATATAACAAGTTTAAAAAAATAAGCCTGTATTCACTAGACTGATAACAGCGATACCAAAGCTATACACAAGCAAAGTGCATGACTGAATGCTGAATTGGAAGCTTTCTTCAGGAGAAGCTGACTCGTCTGCACCTCATTGGCATATTCTCCATGGTGAAAATAAACACTGTTTGTGTGACAGAGATGCTAATACCATCTTACTCAAAAAAATGTTTATAGTATATTTTAATAGTTAAAATGTTTAGTTCCTTTTAAAGGGGTGGCTGACTTTTTTTTTTTTCTAGGCTTGATTGTGTTTATGGGGTGCAGTCTAACATGTGTTAATGCTTTGTTTTTAAAAAAAACATTATTTTTCACATAATTTACCTTTATTCCACACCGCTCTGTCCCTTCTCTGATAAACGCGCTGATCATTTCCTGCTTTTATGAAGCCCCTCCCTCAGAAATACACGATGGGCTCTGATTGGTTAGCTAGTCCAGTGTGTCATGATTGGCTAAACCGCCTCTAGTGCACGTCTAAATGTCCCGCCCCTCACCTCAGCGGCATGTGCTCTGGTTGTATTGTAAACAATGGCGTCGTCTAGATCTCATCAATTTGAGCTCGATTGAGATGCAGAGGATATTAGTGAAGAGGATCGCGCAGAACCTGTGCAAGCACGGCTCTTAATGGTATGTTTTTTGTTTGTTGTTGTCTCATACATTTAGATACACTGTTATTTGTAAATGATACTGCATCTGTTAGCTTTTAATATACGGTTTTATCCCGATTAGAGCTTTAATACGGTACGGCAACTGCACGCGCGTCCATGTATAACGCTTCTCATAGCTATGTGAAAACAAGTGTATAAATGGAAGAGCTCATTGTTTGAGCTGAGCTGGTGATCTGAAAGAGAGAGAGAGAGAGAGAGAGAGAGAGAGAGATGCAGAGCAGAGAGTGTGCAGCAGAGCAACGTGAGGAACAGTATTAAGAACGCCACTTTAGAACATTGATTTTGAAACTTGTGAATCCATTAGAATTGTTAGATGACAGAATCATGATTCATATATACAGTGGGTACGGAAAGTATTTTAATGGTATGTTTTTTGTTTGTTGTTGTCTCATACATTTAGATACACTGTTATTTGTAAATGATACTGCATCTGTTAGCTTTTAATATACGGTTTTATCCCGATTAGAGCTTTAATACGGTACGGCAACTGCACGCGCGTCCATGTATAACGCTTCTCATAGCTATGTGAAAACAAGTGTATAAATGGAAGAGCTCATTGTTTATGGGGTGCTGTGTGTACATTAATGAGGGAAAAAAAATAACTGAAATGATTTTAGCAAATGGCTGCAATATCACAAAGAGTGAAAAATTTAAGGGGGTCTGAATACTTTCCGTACCCACTGTAAATATGTGTTTTCGTGCACCCCTCGATTTAACAGCCTGGCAACAACGCTTCCTCTTCTCTATGGCCTCGCCCCCTTTGTTGCGTGTTCCAGGGGGCGGGGTTTATCTGGGTTTGTGATGTCACAAACCCGGGAAGTAACTTCTTGTAGTCCCTACGAGCCGTTTTTGTAGGCATTAAACTGCCAGAATTTTAAAAGATATCTCCGTTTGCATTGAACTTTCAGCGCCGCAACTTTGCTGATATTGTTTATGCTCAAACAGCAACATTACACACTAATTAACGTTAAAAACCACCCCTTTAAGACAAAAGAAAAGAGCTAAGTGTTGGGTTCTATAATTTATTCTATAAATTATGCATTATACTCTTCACAGAATATAGTACAGTACTCGGCATAAATGAGTACACCCCTCTGAACAAATACAAAATACTTTTTTCTTAATGATCACCAAGATAATTCATGGAAAGATGGCAAAATTGATTTTTTTTTTTAAATATATACAAAAAAAAAACAAACACAGAAAATATAATTAATATATGAAAAATAAGTAGATTAGTCAATGTTTGTTCAAATAAAGTGTCAAAAAAATTAGTACATCCTAGATTAAATTGAACAAACGTATCATATTCTAGTATTGCGTCCACCATAAATTTATACTAGTATAAAGTACATAATAGTAGCATATAAAGTATACTACTCTGACCCTTCTTGGCATTGAGTGTACTAGTTCATGACAAAATTTAACATCCGTCCTGTTTAACTCCTGGAGGATGACTTCCTTAAATGTCCCAGTCTTTGTTGCTCAACTGCCTCTGCAAAATCCCCTACGTTTGCTTAAGAGTGTTAGAGTTGGGTGAAATAACTGTCCACAGAAGGTTTTTCACCTTGGGAGAATGTGTATAGTCATTGCTATGCTGAAAAAAATGGCCAACTACGCAGGGAATGAGGAGACAGTAGCATCTTCCGTTTCAAGTTTTTGAATTACATCACACGGTGTGTGAATTCATGACAGCATTGATAAAGAACAAGTCCCTCGCACCTTCAAGACTCATACATCCCTATATAAGAGCTTTACTACCATTGAACTTCACTGTGGGAACCAGTCACTTCTCGCTACACTCCTCCCCTAGCAATGCCAATGCCATTTTGGATGCTGTTAGATCCAAAATGATTTACTTGGTCTCATGAGACCAGAGTATGGATCCCCACAAGACTATATTTTGTAAACATGGGCCTTGAAAAAGACTAAAATTAGATTTTTTGCAACAGTAGTTCTGGTATGGACAACATCCATGTACAGGTGCATCTCAATAAATTAGAATGTCGTGGAAAAGTTCATTTATTTCAGTAATTCAACTCAAATTGTGAAGTTTTTGTTAAATGTGAGCCAAAATCATCACAATTAAAAGAACCAAAGACTTAAACTACTTCAGTCTGTGTGCATTGAATTTATTTAATATACAAGTTTCACAATGAGTTGAATTACTGAAATAAATGAACTTTTCCACGACATTCTAATTTATTGAGATGCACCTGTATGTCACTTCTGCACCTTAATGTGTAAGATGAAACAGGCACTCTTTTCATAGCTTTTGCAAGCTTTGAGACACACTCTTGGAATTTCTCCTGCTCTTTTCCTAGCAAAATCACTTCTCATGAAATAAAAGCTTAAAATGAGGGCCTGGCTATTTCAAGGACCTCGTCACAAGTTCCTTGTTTTATCTCGGTGTTCCTTTCGTTCAAAGAAATAAGTCTCCTGTCAGTTTTCTCTCAACTGGTTTCATTGTTGTCAGCATTAAATCTGAGAACTCAGTGGGTTATGTAACACCTTTAATTGTGAAGAAATTACTTATCTCTTGGTCAAATTTGCCTTTCTGTTTAAATAATGAAATAATATACTAAACATACATTTAAAATAAAAATGTATTAGTTTTATTATGCAAATTTCAGGTGGGTGTACTTATTTTTGAATCAACATTTTATCACTTTGATATGAAAATCTTATTTTACTGAATAATTCTGAAATGCTTCTTTGGTAATTGATCAAGCAGACTTGCTTGAATATTATATCTCCAAATAATCCTAACGTCTTCTAAATAAAGAATAATTGATTAATTCCGAGAGGGGTGTATTCATTTATGCTGAGGGAGAATGTGAACCTTACTGAGGTGGCTATAGACAACCCAAAGATCCCCAAGACAAAGGTTGGAAAACTGTGCTCGAGGAAAAAAATGGACATCAAAAATTCTATTCTGAGAGCTTGGAGACATATTACAGTAGGTTTGTCTTTGTAGCAGAAATGTACCCATACCTGTTAATGACGGCTTGGTCTGACTCCAGTCTAAATACACGTGGCTTTGGGTTGCCATCCTGCGCCTTTGGGGTCACAGTTCCCACCTCCACGAAACCAAAGCCCAGTCTATAGAGGCCATCCACTGCCTCACAATGCTTGTCAAAGCCTGCTGCTAACCCAACTGGGTTCTGGAACTTTTGACCCATCACATGCACTTCCTGATAGAAATAAATGTGAAAATAAATTGTAATTTAAATTTCCCTTGAAAATAGAGAGTATCACGACGCTTGCATGTGCGTTCCTCTGCACGTAAACAAGGCTTAGCGCATGCATGTTCTACGTCAGCAGCATCACGCGCATGCATTAAGTGCAAAGGTACTCGTCTTGATAATGGAGGAGAAGAATTGTTGAATAATTGTTTTATTTTTCCGATGCACACAAAAAGTATTCTCCCTCATTTGTAAAATTACGGTTGAACCACTGATGTCACATAGACTGTTTTACCGATGTCCTAACTACCTATCTGGGTCTGGGAACATTTCAGTTGCGTTGCTGTCTATGCAGGGTCAGAAAGCTTGGATTTCATCAAAAATATCTTAATTTGTGTTCCGAAGATGAACGAAGGTCTTACGGGTTTGGAACGACATGAGGGTGAGTAATCAATGACACAATTTTAACCCTTTAAAATGTAAAAATGAAAATCTAAAACAACTCTGCTAGATTTATGATGTTAATAACTATGGAAATGCATCATCAATCTGTGAAAAGGATCCATATAGCAATTTATCACAAATATTTAACACACTGACCAGTGAGGCTGGGTCCTTGTAGTTGTTGTAAGGCACAAGTCCAAGACCAATCACCCGAACAGCCATGGCATGAGCCGTCTCTGCTCCTACAAACCTCTGCAGCACAGGCATGAGGGCACTGGCATAGAAACGATCGTCTCCGGAGGCTGTGAGGTATCCCAGGAACAGGGCACTTCCACATCCTATGATCTTTAAGGCATCTTTCGCTTGTTTCTGCAAAGATCAAGAGAGGATACTTAAGCAACAAGAGACCACACTTTTGTTCTACCATAAAAAAGATAGTGCCCCATTTTAAAAGAAACAATCCCAAGCACACACTCTAAACGTGCACTAAAGCTCAAAACTGAATATGTAAGTTAGGCTCATCAAAGAAATGTGCATATATTACAGGATTTGTAAGTATCCACTAAAATACCACCATAAAACCTTTACCTTTACAAAAATCCTAGGTCAGCACTATGGATGGATGGATCAATGGTGATACAATGCCATGTAACGTTAATACCATAGAACTGAATGTCACCATATTCATATATTTTGTGATATTTCAATGTCAAAAATACCCAAGGTATTATCCCGGATTTTTTTTATTTTATTATTTACTTGTTTTTGTGTGTAATGCATTTAAAGTTACCATAGCAATCAAATAAACTGAGACTTTTCTCCTGATTACAGAGGGCTTACTGTAATTGTATATTCACACAAACTGGGAAAATCGGGAGCTGATTCAACGTAAGACGCAAAACTGTGCCAAAAAAAAGTGCAACTTATTTATCTGTAAATGCATGCTCTGCTTGATCTGGCGACACTTTAAAAAAAACACAAAACTTTATCAAAGAACAGCGATGCATCGCTTATTCACCTTCAGTCGTCCCGCCATGAGTGTTGTGTAACACCAGCATCCAAACCACGTGTTCGCTGTTCACTTCCTGAACGAAATCTCGCGAGAATGAAGTAGAGGCGAGCCCCTGAGAGCGACATTAATTTGAGATGTTTGTTATATAACACAACTAAACGTGTGATATGAACAGTTAATTGAGTGGAACTACTGTAAAATTCAACAATGTTAATTTTGACAATTTTAAGCTCAGTGTATGTTGCACTGGGTAAAAGAGAGACGTGTAATAGACGTATACGAATATAATATTTTAATCAAATATTTTATTACTCAATATATTTAGTACTAAAATGATATCTTTTTCGAAGTATGAAAACGTTTCATGTTTTAGGACCAGCGAGTACTTAAACCATAACTTTTTTTATATTGTTCTACAGAATATATTAAAATTCCATGGAATTTCCATCAGTATTGCCAAAGTACTTTTACAGTGTGCTTTTCCTTATTTTTCTATTATACAGTGTTAAGTAATTAGTAATACAGAGAATGACAAAGAACTCTTTTCCATCATCACTGCACAGGATAGTGTGACTTAAAATCAAAATGTCTTTATTTCACAAATCTGTGATCATGGATAACAATGTATTGGAGGCTTTTGGGGAGTCTTGGTTTAAAGTCAGACTTTGCATGTATTTGAGTGCCTGCTCCCATTTCCCTAATGAAGTTAGTTCACATTCACTGTTTTCACAAAGTGAGATTTCAGATTTGCCTAAGATGTACATAGGCTCCCTGTTTTTTATTCCACACAAACTTTCCTAGACTGAAGGTTGCTTTTCAGCTATTATCAGTCATGGCTTTCTCAAAGCAAGTGCTTGTTTATTGTTGGATATCAATTTTTTTGATGCCTCTTACGACTTGTAAGGATGAATCAGAAGAAAGTGGACATGAGAAAGATGATTATGGCAGGAGAATTCTGGAAATTCATGAGGGAATAGCGTATGAGTTTGTTCAGGAATCCATGCCATGGGCTGAAGCCCATGAGAGCTGTGAAAAACAAGGGGGACATCTTCTAAGGGACTTGAATGTTGAGATTAAGGAGCTCGTACAAACCCAGTACACAGAAACTGGACCGTGGTGGGTCAGTCGGGAGTTGATGTATAAAAATTCCATCAGTCGTGAGTAAAGTTCACAGTTTTCTCTCTGTAGATTGTCTATACTTCTTTGCCCTTACTATATAACAAGGAAAGTCAAACCTGTGCCTAAAATAGAAAGTACTGATAGATGGTATTAAATGTAACAAGCTACATCTTGTCTCATGAGAGCTTTTGATTTAAGTTTTGGGTTACGCTTTAGTTTAGGGACCAATTCTCACTATTAACTAGTTGCTTATTAGCATGCAGCATATTGGAAATAAAATAAAATAGCCATATTTTACATCTCTGCCCCATATACCTAAACTGAACAGCTACCGTAATAAATATTAATATGAAGCAAATTATGAGATTATTAAGGCAAAAGTAGTAATAGTGAGAACCAAACTAAAGTATGACCAAGTTTGGTATTCCAATGACTTCCTGGAGTTTGTATGAAGGAATTAATTTGATTAGGCAGGGCAAACTGATGTTAGTGCAGTATTTTAGCAGGCATCATGCTGTTCATAACATACTGCTTTGTCTAAAAATAAAGGTTCAATTAGTACCAATAAGATGCTATATGTGACCCTGGACCACAAAACCAGTCATAAGGGTCAATGTTTTGAAATTGAGATACAATTGAGATCTGGAAGCTGAATAAAGAAGCTTTCCATTGATGTATGGTTTGTTATGATAGGACAATATTTGGCTGAGATACAACTATTTGAAAATCTGGAATCTGAGGGTGCAAAAAATCGAAATACTGAGAAATCGCCTTTAAAGTTGTCCCAATGAAGTCTTTAGCAATGCATATTACTAATCAAAAATTCAGTTTTGATATATTCACGGTAGGAGATTTACAAAATATCTTCATGGAACATGATCTTTATATCCTAATGATTTTTGGCATAAAAGAAAAATCGATAATTTTGACTCATACAATGTATTTTTGGCTATTGCTACAAATATCCCCGTGCAACTTAAGACTGGTTTTGTGGTCCAGGGTCACAAATATCTTTAATCTCCAAAGAACCATGTAGTAATACAACTCAAGATAAATATTCTTTGCTTATCCCAAGGAGGTGTAAAGAGCAACTAAAGAACCTTATTTTTCCTAGAATTCTTGCCTCAAGAGTCTATGGCAATGAAATAAATGACACTATATCATTCATGGAGATTTTCTTATATATGTTTGGGTGTGTTTACAGGATTTGAACCTGTCAGTAATGTCAGTAAAGATCACTTAGCTTGCACCTATATGGTCAAAGATCCATTTCAGCTGGTGACCACACCCGACTGCAGCATGAGCTTTAGCTCCCTCTGCACGCGAGGTACAGAAACAAATCACAGACATAACATAAAACAACATTGTATGATGATGTGAATCAGAATAACTGGACAGCACAGAAATGAGATTGCTTACTACATACTTTCTTTTAAATATGGAACAGAATGTAATGTAGTTATGCCGTTACAGTTTTAAATACACATCTGACATCAAGTGAAGCAAACAAAAGGAGCCGCAGAAGTCTTACTGACACATTGACGTCACTGGAAAACAACATAGGAAACACTGTTGTGCTTTTGGAGGTTGGTGAAGTTATTCAGTAAAAGAATATAGTCCTATGTTTTATTTCCGTAAAGTGGTCTCTTCAGAACTGTTTTATGAAAGCAGGCCTCAGAAAATAAAGGGGAAAAGGAAAGGTAGAGTTTGGGATAAGGGTATGAAAAAAGAACAAAGATCAATTTCATTGTAGAAATTAGTGATATACAAGACCACTCGGCATCTTGAGCTTGCTCGTTTCATCTGAACTGGTTTACGACTGTAAAGAAGTTAACTACTTGATATTTCTATAATGGACTGGACCATAATCAAACATTGTGTGAATAATATCCTTAAATTTAAAAAATGGACGTAGGAAGAGTTTATGACATACAGAGTAAATTATAATCTCAACAACAATTCATGAACTCGTGATCATTTTAACCCTTCTTGTCAATCTTGCAGAATGCCAAAACAATGTTGAAGGATTTGGAGACAGCAACAGAAGTACTATCAAAGGAAAATAAGGTGATTCATGCATTATATTATACAAGACTAATTATGAATACATTACATTATTGCACATAGTAATTAATAATCAGGCTGAAGTATTTATTTATTTTTTTCTGTTGGTCTAGCATATCAGATTTGTAGCGGCCTTTCAAATTTTCAATAGTAGTGTAGAAATATTTTTCATTATACATACACTTTTAAAAAATATTTACCAAGCTTTTGATTTTCAATATCCTCATTTGTGCAAGCCAGCAAGTCTGCCATGCATACATAATCAACAAAAGTAAATGTAGTGACAACCCAGCAAAGAAGAGTTCATTTAGCTGGCCTGAAACTCTCTAACACTGGTCCTGGGCAAACATACCATCCTTATTGTTGATCCCTGCATAACACCAATGACAATATTCTCATTGCTTCGTAATCTTTAAACCATCATTTTTCATTTATAATTCCATTTATTTTCAGCACGACACACTGATGTATCGATGTAGCTTGTTTTGTTGCAGAATCTGATTTTACCAAGTGCGACATGTTCCTGGATCAACATCTTTGTTGACCCTGGAACAACATTGTTATTAACCAATCAGATTTGAAGAACCAGTTTATAGTTTTTGTGAAGTTTAGGCTTACAATCAGTGTTTGGTGCTTGTACATCAGTGTCATTCATCTATCATTTCCTCTGATTTTAGGGATTACTCATGGTTAAGGTTAGGTTTAGGTGTAGGGATATGGTCAAGACTACATTTTTGGATTAAAATGTTGCTCCAGGGTCAACAAAATATGTTGACCTAGGAACACATCTAACTCTGCAAAAACAGGATGTGAGTAAATTGTTCTCTATTACTTCTTTATCGGATAGATCAAATACCTGCAAAACATATATGGTCATCTTCAAACGAATGCTATAATGAATCAAGTCCAGACTGATGAAATTATGAACAGCACTACGGCCATGCTTTTGTACTCACAAGAGTGTGAACCTGACAACATGGATGATGTAAGTCAAGTGGTCAAGTTATCAATGGATCAAATGATTTTGAGGCTGATTATGTCTCTCTAGACAAATGCTTTACATTGTTATAGCTTTTCAACTGTGAATAGTTCTTTTTTTTTTAACAGCTTGAGGAACTCATCACTCTTGCCGGCTACATTTACGGAAAGGCTCTGACTGATAACGGTAACATTGTCAAGGAGCTTCCAACAGGCACTATTTATGTCACAAGGTCATTATTAGTTGACTGATTACTGACCTATGTTATCATATGCAATGGTTCGTATTTAATGTATAGCTGTGTCTCCATAGGCAAGATTCAAGCACCCTGGGTGGAAAAATCATTGGCCCAATAGATGGAGGATTTTGTCAACTTCCATCTCTTACTGCAATGACTGGACAGCTGCCTACAGGGAATGTCAATGTGCAGGTTTGCTAACATCAAAGTCCCAAGTCATAAAATCAGCTACATATTTATTTTCAGAATGTAAATATTAATATTTTTTACAGTGGTCAGTCTAAAAACTAAATTAATTCCATTTACTTTCTTAATATAGCACACATTTCTGGTCTTATTGTGCTTGATTCATCAGTGCACATTATTCCAAAAGAGACAAAAAAAAGTCTTTCTTCATAATAATCCTGTAACTTGCTTTGCCTCTAAAATTTTTTATTTTTTATTTTTTTTGCTGACATGTTCAAGCAGTCTTATCATTTTTAACCCCTCTTCTGTCATATATAGACCATTATAGACCAATCTTTTCACAGTCAAGATCATGCTTTAAAGCTGATAAAACTTTATCATTACAGCTCTTCCAATTTAAAGAGAATCCATTGGAAACCAAGTCCAACGAAAGCATCACTGGAACAACTTGCAGCTTTACTTTGCAGAATGGAAGCTCTACACTCAAATTAGCAAATCTTCCACAGAACATTGAGGTGAAAGCAAATACGTAACTGAACTCATTTTTGTTACTCATTAGTTAGAGAACCATATTGAGCTCACTTCATCAATTTCAAATATGTGAACATTGAACACAGAAGCATTTGAATTGCTCTATGAGATTTGTAAGGCAATATTCTCTGTAAAGCTGCTTTGAAACAATAAGCAGTGTGATAAGAGCATTACAAATTTTTTATTGAATTAAGTAGTTACTGATGATTCTCTCTGTACAGATATATCTGCCTCGGCCTGAAGCCCCTGAGCCTGAAGTTGTGGATATAACCTGGAAACCAGGGTTTACTATCACCTCAACATTCAACATCTCAGATGTGAATATGACTTTGGTTGTAACAGCACTGCCAAATCGAAACGTAACTCTCCGTGTGACTTTGTACCCACCAGAGGAGGCAAACGCCACCTATTTGAATCAAAGCACTATTATAACCTACAAAGGTAAAGTTTGGAAAATAAATGAATAAAATGAAAAGTTCACATGTATTATTCAAAGACTGTTGCTACTGTTAGAAAGAGATTAACCTTTCCCCTGCATTTTTTTTGTGCAACAGACAATTATCGCTGGCTGATCACCCCTGAAATGACAAAGGGAATTGAGGGGGCCTGGAAGGTGGCGGTATTACCAACTGATTACTCCCCAAGTGAGTTGCTGACCTTTAAAGTCTCAGTTTTTGTAACCAAGTGCCTGTTTTGGGATACCAACCTTGGAGCCTGGAGTAGAGAGGGCTGCATGGTAAGACTCCATAATAGTTGCTCATTTAATAATGTTCATTTAATATACAGTCTTTTCATGATGTTTGTGATATCATGTCTATCCAAAGGTTGGTCCCAATACAATGCCGAACCTAACTCACTGTTTGTGCAACCACACAACATTCTTTGGGAGCTCCTTCTTCGTGATGCCCAACCAAGTTGATTTGTCCCAGACGGCAGCTTTGTTTGCCACAGTAAATGAGAACTATATAGTGGTGGTTTTACTCAGCTGCTTCTTTGCCCTCTTTCTGGTGGTTGTAATGTGGGCCTGGTATGCAGACCGCAAAGCTCTCAGAACGGTACAGTATACTAACATTTACTCTCCTGCTTAACACACTCATGTGGCTTGTTAAGGAAAGAGGTGCACTGACCAAACACAGAGTTTAAAACAGCTGACAAAATCCCAGTTACATTCATAGAGTGATGAAACCATTTTTGGACATAAGGGGCCAGATTCACAAAAATCTTTCTTCTTAAAGTTGCTTCTTAAATGTTAAGAAGGCCCTTAAGATAAAGATGTTCATAACCCTAAGAGCAATTATTTAAAACTTTGTATGTATCTTTAAAAAATAAGTATCACCAGAAAAAGATTTTTGTAAATAAAATAAAAGAAGAAGAAGAAAATGGTAGTTGAGAATGCTATTCTTAAGAATGTTTTGAATCCGGCCCCAGAATATGAAGATATTTCTTTTTCCTAGTTGAGCTAACAAGTAAAATCACATTCCCTTTTATTTAAAACAGCCACTGAAGTGCATTTCCAAGTAAAATATAATGGTCATTTGATCTTATGAAGAGAACTTTCTTCAGTCACCACAACACCTAGTCTTTAACTTAAACCAGTATGCTTTACTTATGTCACAGTCATCCTTGAAGACAAACTAGAATTAATTAGACTAGATGGTAAAATCCATCTACAGGTAAAAGGTTTCAGGATTCTAGAACTACAAATAGTTAGGACGTTTAAAATGTCCGTTTGCTGAATGAATTAGGTTGCAAATGTCTCACATCACAAAATGTTCCATCAGGTACTTGGACAGAATCATGGTGCAGGATTTACAGACGCAGGAGGTCACATACTTTCTGTGCTCCACCTGGCTGAGAGGTGAAATATGCAAGAGGACCTTCAACTCAGCTAACATGAATGAAGTTGCAAGCTTTGGGTAAAAACTTGAACTTACATTCTCAAAGAAACTACATCTAATTATTAAAGCTATACCTGCACTACCAGTCGAACGTTTGAACGCGCGTTTGAATAGTAAGGTCGTCAAAATTATGAAATAGCATTATTGGAAGAATGGGAATGATGTAGTGACCAGCAAATCAAATGAATCAAATTAAAAGTACTTTTATCATTTCAACTTCTTCAAAGTAACCACTCTTTATCTTATTGCTCATTACACTCTGAACATTAGGTCAAGAATAATAATTGATAGTATTGTTTGGCTTCATTTAGATTTAGAAGATTTAGAACATTTTGATCTGAAATGTAACTTACTTTTTGTTTATTGAACTGGTTTATGAAAATAATATATATCAGCACTATATTCAGTACAACATTTTCTATAAGCCTTTAAAACAACAAGAAACAGCCAAGCTTTAGAGAACTTCTTAAAGTGTTTTTCAATAATAATTTACCCTCCCTACAAACCCCCATCCCAGCAATATCTTCCAGACCCGGACATCTTCTGGCTTCCGGGATGAGCACATCTGGGTGTCGATCGTGGACCCCCCACGGCGCAGTCCTTTCACGCGTGTTCAGAGAGTGTCCTGCTGCATGTCTCTGCTGCTCTGCACCATGGCCATTAACATCATGTTCTGGAACCTTCCTGTTGATGAAGAGTCTCCTGTCCTTCTAAAGATAGGTCAGAAAACTTCCCTGCGGAATTTTTCATTTTCTAAAATTATGTAATGCACAAATGCGACGCCTCACTCTCAACACCACTCGGGTATTTTTATGCAATGCGTCATGTTTGAGAGAGTCATGCTTTGAGGGAGCATGTTTTGTTCAGTTGCTTATTCATTACACATAAGCATATAAATATATAAAAAAAGCATAATAATATTAGTTAGTCAAAACCTGCATGGATTTCCTTCTTCTGTTGAACACAAAAGAAGATTTTTTTAACAATGTGGGTCCTAAAGAGCTTCTGTAGCCATTGACTTCCATAGTAATATAATTTTCATTTTGGGTGAATTACCCCTAATAATAGTATTTACTTTAATAAATGTACACAAACTATTTTCTTGGATATTACAGGCTCTTTTGAACTGACATGGCAGGAGTTCATGGTAGCCATAGAGAGCGGTCTTTTCATGTTCCCCATCAACATCCTGATCATTACTATCTTCAGACACATCAAACCACGCATTCTCCTGAACAAAGGGAAGGCTGGCACCTCCAAGAAAACAACACCGGCTGCTGCTGTTTCTATGAACGCTATCATAAAGGTTCTTGCAGAAATAATTCCAAAGCATAATAATTGCTTTCTGCAATAATACACACTTGTGAGCAAAATGTTATATTATTGTAAGTGAATGTTCTGTTCCTACTCTTAGGAAACCGTAGGACTGTTAAATAATCTGAGCAAAAGCCCCAAAAACATGCTGGCTGCCAAAGAGATACGGCCTGAGACCAGTGGCGATCTTTTCTGGGCCCTGAGTAAAGTGAATGACGTCCTTCAGATTATGCAAGGTTGCTTGATCAGTATTATTTCTTTTCTATGTGTTCTTAATATTTGGCATTATGTCAATGTCATTCATTAATGATACACATACTCAAAACAAATCAGTGTTATTTTAGTGTCATTGAGATTCGCTTGCAGCTTTTATTAATATTTCGAATTAGTTTTTATTTTATATTTTCCATTTTTATTTAAAAGTTTTATCAATTTTGGTGTGCCTTTGTCATTTTATAATTTTTTTAAATATGAAAAAAAAAATGTATATAGTTTTATAACTAAAAAGTTTTAAAAGTTTAGTTAGTTGCTTTGTTAACTAACTAAAATAAATCAAGTTTAAGTATTTTTATTTCAGGTTGATTTTAATTCAAGTAATTTTGCAAAATAAAGGACTACAATGAAAATAAGTAGCTGTATTTTAAACTTTAAATATGTTTTTCTGTAATGTGACATAATGCTTAATATTAAGTAATCCTTCATCAGAAATATTTGTAAATGTTTTTTATTGTACGAAGACTCATCATAGCTCTGTTGTGTGTTCTCATTCAGTGGAAAATGTTGGTGATCCTCACTGGTCGTACTGCAGCCGCTTTGTGTTCTATTCACTGAGCCACATTTCTAACCTGCTGGAGCATGTGGGAGAAAAGGGCTTTTTCCTTAACGAGGAGCTTCGGCAGGCACGCGGGACAGTCGGTGTCCTGCTGAAGAAGGCTGAAATGGCTACTCTCCAGCACGCTTCCCAAAGGTCAGGACTGTCACCTCTGCAGATACTCATATTGTACATGTATTAAAAAGATGATTAATTTTTACAAGAAACTCAAGACCTTTTAGGATCTCTTTGTCCTTCCATGTAAGTGAATGTTCTGTTCCTACTCTTAGGAAACCGTAGGACTGTTAAATAATCTGAGCAAAAGCCCCAAAAACATGCTGGCTGCCAAAGAGATACGGCCTGAGACCAGTGGCGATCTTTTCTGGGCCCTGAGTAAAGTGAATGACGTCCTTCAGATTATGCAAGGTTGCTTGATCAGTATTATTTCTTTTCTATGTGTTCTTAATATTTGGCATTATGTCAATGTCATTCATTAATGATACACATACTCAAAACAAATCAGTGTTATTTTAGTGTCATTGAGATTCGCTTGCAGCTTTTATTAATATTTCGAATTAGTTTTTATTTTATATTTTCCATTTTTATTTAAAAGTTTTATCAATTTTGGTGTGCCTTTGTCATTTTATAATTTTTTTAAATATGAAAAAAAAAATGTATATAGTTTTATAACTAAAAAGTTTTAAAAGTTTAGTTAGTTGCTTTGTTAACTAACTAAAATAAATCAAGTTTAAGTATTTTTATTTCAGGTTGATTTTAATTCAAGTAATTTTGCAAAATAAAGGACTACAATGAAAATAAGTAGCTGTATTTTAAACTTTAAATATGTTTTTCTGTAATGTGACATAATGCTTAATATTAAGTAATCCTTCATCAGAAATATTTGTAAATGTTTTTTATTGTACGAAGACTCATCATAGCTCTGTTGTGTGTTCTCATTCAGTGGAAAATGTTGGTGATCCTCACTGGTCGTACTGCAGCCGCTTTGTGTTCTATTCACTGAGCCACATTTCTAACCTGCTGGAGCATGTGGGAGAAAAGGGCTTTTTCCTTAACGAGGAGCTTCGGCAGGCACGCGGGACAGTCAGTGTCCTGCTGAAGAAGGCTGAAATGGCTACTCTCCAGCACGCTTCCCAAAGGTCAGGACTGTCACCTCTGCAGATACTCATATTGTACATGTATTAAAAAGATGATTCATTTTTACAAGAAACTCAAGACCTTTTAGGATCTCTTTGTCCTTCCATATTCTTTCTAATCTCACAATCTTTTTATTTTCTTCTCAACCTTTCTGATCGATTACTAGTCTGTATTTCACTATCAGTATCAATTCAACACCTGAACTGTTTAGTGGCTAGAGCTGGTTCTTTGAAATATACAATAATAAGCAGATGTTCTGCTTAGCAGAAATGCAAGAATCCTGTTTCTTCTATTAAAACAGATTTTGTTTTTGTTGTTGTTGTTCCAGCCAACCATCTGTGCAAGTGCAGAAGAAGAAACAGGGTTGGTGGTTGCCTTGGTGGTTTCTCTTTATTGGTTGGTTCCTGCTTTTTGCCATGAGTGGTATTTCCACCTTCTTTACCCTGCTTTATGGCTTCCAGTATGGAAGGGAATCTTCCATACAGTGGGTCATCACTCTTACATTATCTCTCGTCCAAAGCATCTTCATCTTGCAGCCCCTTAAGGTAAGAACCAGTGGGGTCTTTTTCTCAAGAGAAGAAAAGACTTTAAAGGAACACTCCACTACTTTTGAAAATAGGCTCATTTTCCATCTCCCCTAGAGTTAAACAGTTGAGTTTTACCGTTTTCTAATCCATTCAGCCGATCTCCGGGTCTGGAGGTAGCACTTTTTAGCTGCAGCTTAGCATAGATCATTGAATCTGATTAGACCGTTAGCATCTCGCTCAAAAATGACCAAAGAGTTTCTATATTTTTCCTATTTAAAACTTGACTCTTCTGTAGTTACATCGTGTACTAAGACCGACGGAAAATGAAAAGTTGCGATTTTCTAAACCGATATGGCTAGGAACTATACTCTCATTCCGGCATAATAATCAAGGAACTTTGCTGCCGTACCATGGGTGCAGCAGGCACAATGATATTACGCAGCACCTAAAAATAGGCTAATGGTGCGTTCAAGTCATGTCGGATAGATCGTATTTACGAGTTGAACGCACATGAACGCCACCACAAAGTCGTTATTAGAGTGGGAAAACTCAAATTTTTCTTTAAGCCCCGAGTTTCCGAGTTGGGGGCGTGTCAATGAGAAACATGGCGGAATCGATGGATGCAACGTCTGTAGTTGACGGTAAATATTACGCAGCACCTAAAAATAGGCTAATGGTGCGTTCAAGTCATGTCGGATAGATCGTATTTACGAGTTGAACGCACATGAATGCCACCACAAAGTCGTTATTAGAGTGGGAAAACTCAAAATTTTCTTTAAGCCCCGAGTTTCCGAGTTGGGGGCGTGTCAATGAGAAACATGGCGGAATCGATGGATGCAACGTCTGTAGTTGACGGTAAATTTTTGTTTAAATTGATAGTTTAGTTGTCCTATTAACTTAAATTGGTCATGTTCTTGTTACGCAGCTAGTTAATGAAATACAGACCCTGTTGTATTTTCTTGTAATTTATTAAAAGGAGGTACACCGCCATCTTGTGCCAACTAAACTGACTTGAACGCACCTGACGTCATAATTACGACTTGTCAACTCGTAAGTACGAACATCCCAGGAGGACTTGAACGCAGCATAACTTCCGTCAACCTAACCAACGTGACAACCTGCTTGCACAGGGAGCATACTGGGGACTATTTTCAGGCGCTGCGTAATATCATATCATGGTATGGCAGCAAAGTTCCTTGATTATTACCCGGAATAAGAGTATAGTTCCTAGCCATATCGGCCTAGAAAATCGCAACTTTTAATTTTCCGTCGGACTTAGTACACGATGTAACTACAGAAGAGTCAAGTTTTAAATAGGAAAAATATAGAAACTCTTTGGTCATTTTTGAGCGAGATGCTAACGGTCTAATCCGATTCAATTATCTATGCTAAGCTACAGCTAAAAGAGCTACCGCCAGACCCGGAGATCGGCTGAATGGATTCGAAAACGGTCAAACTCAACTGTTTAACTCAAGGGGAGTTGGAAAATGAGCCTATTTTCAAAAATAGTGGAGTGTTCCTTTAAGGAATAGCTCACCCAAATATGACAAATGTCTGTCATTCTCTTCTGAAATACAAAAGGAACACCGAAGAATGTTCATACACCAGTTTTTTATTTTTTTCACACAACAACAACAGCATGCAGTGACCAAAGACTGTCAAGACCAAAAAATTGTAAAATAGCACCATAAAAGCTTTGTGTGGAAAAACTTGTCAAAACGTAATCTCTGCCAGAGCTTAAAAATGCATTGTGTCAGATTTGACATCAAGCATTAAGCATTTATGGTAAACTAAAGTATACTTTAATGTAATTTCTGTTGAAATATATTTACACTTAACACAATATTTGTAAATGATGAAGTTGGAATTTAGTACATTTAAAATATATGAATTAACCTCTAAATGCTGTAATGTTGAATAACGTACTTTACATGTGCTTTAGTATGTTAGTCAATACATTAAAAAGTGTACTTCTTTAAAATGCAACAAAATATTATTCAAACAAAATGCATTTTAAAGTAAAACTTTTAATTTGACATTATTTATAGTTTAGCACACTCAGGTTTTTCTTTACTTTTGTTTTCTGACCAAATCAGAAAAAAGGCTTTTCTAATAGATTATGGCAATAATGTCACTTAAAAAACTGTCAAATTGAGATTCGCACAAGGTTATTTTTAATAGCTGACGATGCTTCCCCCACCTTCTCTACAGCTCACTATTTTTAGGAAGGTGTGTCATTGCCTCACTTGTACATCCACTCATCCGTCACTATGTTCTCTCACTGTGTCCTGCTTCAGGCCACATTTGTTAGCAGTCACATGCAGACGCTCTCTCACTATGCCTGGCCTCTGAAATCTCCTCTGGGTCTGTGTGTTTATACTTCACAGAGGTGAGATCCTGAAGGGTCGCTCACAGGCAGTGGGGCTGTGTCCCATGTCCCTGTGCACCTCATCCTCCCCTCCAAACCAGAACGGGAGAGCTGGAGCTGTCCAAACTGCTCATTATCTAGCATGTGAATGAATCGCCCCAAATGCAGGCTCAATGATGTGCATGTGGCAATCTCAGCCCTTTTACAGAAGTTCATATGCCAGAATAACCCAGTCTCTAGCAGTCCCTCAGATGAGAGTATTTGGGAAGGCTTGTGTGAAGAAATAATTATATTATACACAAAATATGACCTTGCAATATAATTTATATAACAACACTGAAATATGTAATATCAATGTATTATTTTTCCCTATCATGAGAGCTGTGCTGGACAAAATTATTTTGTTCTACTTTGTTGACACTGACTAGATTAATGCTATTGTGTACCACGCCAAGCTTTTTCAACAGTAGGTAAAAGTTTACTGAGAAAATCAATACATTTTACATGTCTAGCCTCACATGAAACTATTTTTAAAAGTTGTGAAGAGTATGACAGTTCCACTGAGAATTAATATATATATTTTTTTTGAACAAGCCAAGTGCATATAGTATATATTACACGTTTGCACACATGGCAAAACACGTGCAATTTGCTTAATAGGATAAAAATTCTAATCTTGCGTGAACAATACACGTTTTCAGAGATCTTGTTGTTATGTGGGGGAAATCTCATTTGAGAGCAGAATAAAGCGAATGAGAAAAACAGTAATAGATTATTATTAGTGTTACTTCACCCTCTAGTGGTTTTAAAATCGAGTAACATCCCAAGTACAGCCAAACGCTTATTAAAAAAAATTTATATATATATATATATATATTCATTTATATGTATTCATGCTGTATTAATTAATGGAAAAACTTGTTATAGTTATAGTATATATAAAAAAAGAAGATTACTCATTAAATGAATCATTTACTTGGGTGAGAAGTATGTTATGAGCAAATAGACTTTATTACATGGCATCAGATATGTTTTCAGTGCAAGCTAAAGTCAGTATCAAACATACCTAAACACTGCCAGATTTGTATTTGGGTGATTTGAGAAGAGAGAACACAAATTAGTGTTATAAAACCAAGTAGAACGCAGCCAAAACAACACTTGAGACATTGACACTTTAAACAGTCAAATCTTAC